CATTTGGAAAACTGTCTGGGGGAGACTTTAAGGTAATGTCCTTATGGATTCTCAAGTCATCACATTTAGAATTTGTGGTCCACAAGGCAAAGCTTTGAGACATGAAGATCTGTAATCAAATTTTGGCTCTACTAATGAATGGCTTCTGTTCTCATGTAAGTCACTTAACCTGTATGGACTCTGCTTTCTTGGTAAAATAATTACAATAATAACTGATTCTACAAAGGGGTTTGCGAGGATCAAATTTAAATGAGCTTTGGAAACTAAAGAAAAAAAAATAAATTACTACCTGGCTGCACTGCTATTTAGACAACAGATGGTAGGAAAGCATACTAAAATCACAGCAACCAATTAGGAACTTATTATAATAGGCAAGCAGGAGATGATGGTGGCCTATAATGGGATGGCAACAGTTGAGGGTGAAAGAGGTGAAATTCTAAATATATTTTGGAGGTACAGCATGTAGGATTTATAGATGAATAGCAGGAAGTAGAAGGTAAGAGAGAAGGAAGTAGAGAGAGTGTGTGTCATCAAGAGAGGGGAAATTTGGGGAGAGAATTGTAAGTTCAATTTTGCACATATGAAGTTTGAAATTCCTAGAAGACATAAAGTGGAGTTACCTAAATAATTGCCTAATAATAATCATGCAAAGAAATGAGAGATGTTCATGCCGAACTTATTGAAAACACTCACTGTTTTAGTCACATCTTAAACATGCACATGGTGAATATCAGGATCTTCTAAACTCCAGTATTAGTTAAGATATACCAACAGGTGATTATAACAAGGCAGACATGGTTTCAACCCTTAGTTTAGTTTAGTGTGAGAAACAGAAAAAAAACAAACAAACAAGCAATTAAAATATATGCACTGTTATTATGGGAAAAGTCCAAAATGGAAGAAGAAATTTAGGTAGAGATCTAAAACATCTGGCTAGATGTCCGAGTTCTCAATAAATAAGGGAGAATATTTAGGATAGTAGAGCCTTGACTCATAAATTGACTATAATCACTAGACAAACTATTTTAGCTAGCAATCTACTAATAAGCACAAGTTACTGGCAAATAACACCTTAAGAATGATACTGTACATGGGCGCCTGGGTGGCTCAGTCGTTAAGCGTCTGCCTTGGGCTCGGGCATGATTCCAGGGTCCTGGGATCGAGCCCCACATCAGGCTCACTGCTCTGCGGGAAGCCTGCTTCTCCCTCTCCCACTCCCCCTGCTTGTGTTCCTGCTCTTGCTATCTCTGTCAAATAAATAAATAAAATCTTAAAAAAAAAAGAATGATACTGTACGTTAAATATAACAAAGTAATGTACATGAAAACCATGTCAAGTGTAAAATGAGACATTTCTAAAAAGTATTCCCAGAACCTAAGGAAGAAAAGGTAAGTAGATACTGAAATTAGCTAAAAAAAAAAAAAAAAAATCGCTTAGGATAGCCCCCCCTAAGTTGAAGCTTAGAAGATGAACAAGAGTTGGAAGAGTAAAAAGATTATTCCATACAATAGAAATTCCATAAGCAAAGACTCAGAATTAGAAATTGTTAAAAGAACTTAGAGAAAGAAGCCATTCCTACTCAAGAAATATTTACTATATATCTATTTTATGACAGGCCCTGGGAATCAAAAGTGATGAAGACACCCTCTTACAAAGTCTAGAGCAGGTTTGGAAAGCAGACTACCCAAAACAGTTGGCAAGTGCTAAGACTGGGTTAAATGCAGGCAGTTATGGAAATATATAGGATGAATACCTAGGCAGATCCTATGGGAAGAGAGAAGGCTTTCTGAAGGAAAGAAGACATGAAATTAACAGGAATTAACCAAACTTGGGGTGGGTGGTGGGAAGCAGTGGGAACACAGGATGAGAAGAAAGGCAAAATAACATTTAAGATTTGAGTGTGTACAAAGGCTAGAGACAACAGAGCACATTACTGGTAGGAGGATGGTGGATATGGCCGAGGCGCAACATTATGGGGTGAATGGCAACAGCTAGGGACAAAGAAATAAACATGAACCAAGCCATGAAAAGATTTGTAAGCCATGTTAAAGGAGTACAGACTTTACCTAAGGATGTCTCTTGGCCTTATTAAAAAGTTCCTATCAAAGAAAAGAAAGTTTAGAGTAGTGAGATATCATCAGATTACCTAGAACAGGAGTTACAAACTCAATTATCTACAGAAACTAGATAATTAATAAAAATGAGTGAGGAGGGCCAGGTAAAACAAACAGCCAGGAGACAACAGTGAGTGATGAGAACTGTGGAGAACCAAAGTCTCCCCTAAATGGGTCAAACTGTTGCAATGAACAACGAGGCTCAGGGTTGCTAGACCTTCCAATTAAAAAAAAAAAGCTGGAAATTTAAAATTTCAAGAAAAATCTCCTTAATTTTTAATAGTGGCAATTCAATTTCTTTGAAACATGATGTAGACCAACACTGAAGGGACCAAATAAAACAAAGAGTCAAATTGGTACCACCAGTCATCGGTTTCCAGTCTCTACTGAAGAAACTCAAAAACTAAGCTGAGGCCTCTGACTTGGACCTGAAGGCAGTAGAGAGCTCCTGGATATTTAAAGAGAAATAAAAGTAACCACTGCTTGAGAAGGCACAGTGTCCATCCTGGTCACTGCTGAGAAAGTACCTGGCACTTCATTGGTCTCAGCAAATACTCAGAGATGAAGCTAAACTGGCATCTTTTGAACATCAGTGTCATGGCAGTAGATAGGACAAACTATCCAATCACAGAAAAGAAAAGAAGAAAACAAATCCAGTGTTCCTTTGCTCTAATCCTAGAATCCTTTTCAGTTAGTCTTTAGTTTTGTTCAAAGTCAGCAGCTACCACATGCTGCCTAGTGTTCACTGGCTTAACAGCCTCTAACTCAGAAATCTGACCAACATACCAGTGACCACAATTAGCAACTACCAGCTTTCACCTAGGTAGAGGCAATGAAATTAAATAGGATGAATGGTCATAGTGGATGGGAAAATGAGAATATTCTATGCTTCACTTCAACACCAGACCAGGCCCTCCAATGCTAATTCCACACCATACCCTATCACACTGTTGCTAAAAGTCGACCTTAACAAATGCTGTGTTCACTGTGCTTGGCAATACCTACCAACAATAAAGGGTATTCCTGGATAGTAAGGCTGGGAAGGAAACAGAATGGGATCAAGATTCTGCTAGAAGGGAGACAGAGTAACAAAGAGGTAGGCTGAGAAAGACTGGAAATTCAAAAGAGGTGTGAAATTTAAAATAACTAAGACCAGAAAAAAGCAGGTAGCCCAAGAAACCTCAGAATCTGAGCATTTATATATTCAGAGTTCAAGTAATCTCATTACAAGAATACTGTTTGAAATAAAATATAGAAGATTCTTCTGCTGGCACTGGGACACAGAGATAACCAGTGTTAGAGGTCATAAATTCATTTACTGAGAATAATCTTCATAGATGTCACTGAACTAGGAAAGGTGAAACCAAGAGGGTATCAAAATGTCAAGTCATGGGGCGCCTGGGTGGCTCGGTTAAGCGTCTCCCTTTGGCTCAGGTCATGGTCCCTGGGTCCTGGGATCGAGCCCCACATCAGGCTCCCTGCTTGACAGGGGGCCTGCTTCTCCCTCTCCCTCTGCCGTTCCCACTGCTTGTGCTCTCCTGCTCTCTCTCTGACAAATAAATAAATAAAATCTTTAAAAAAAAAAAGTCAAGTCATATGTGTTGTACCTTAGATATGCTTTTATTTTGCAGTATGTTCATTCTCATAGTATCTACTAAGGAAGAAGTAGAGAAAAATTGATTGATTTGGAAATCTTTAAGCAATTAGCATCTTAGAGAATGGACACCCAATCCCCATAAAGTATGATGTTGGACTTCCCTCTTATAAAAAAAAAAAGTCATCATATAAGGAACACTTCTGGTTCAGACAATGACTTTAAACCAAGAAAGGAGAGGTTTGTTACCCTGCTGGGGTGGGGGAGATGACAATGGCAATAATGTATAATCCTACCTAGAGTAGCCTATGTAGAAGGTCTGAATCTGACATTCTGATAAAAAGTAGGAGCTTTTTATAGGAAGCTTATAGGAAGGATGGGGTACCTAGATGGCTCAGTCGGTTGGTTAAGCGTCCAAGTCTTGGTTTCAGCTCAGGTTATGATCTCAGAGTCATGGGATCGAGCCCCACATTAGGCTCCATGCTCAGCACAGAGTCTGCTTGAGATTCTTTCTCCCTTCTTCTCTATTCCCTGGTCCCCTGCTCGCTCTTGCTCCCTCCCTCCCTCTCTCAAATAAATAAATAAAATCTTTTAAAAATAATATATAAAGAAATTAAGTAGACCTAGGTATCAGGGAATACTACAGTAAGACCTCAATGTTCTGGTCAAATGTAGCAATGGATAGTAGGCTTCAGGTTACCAATGATCAACAGTAAAGCTGAGCACCCACACACAGGTGAAGTAATAAAAGAAAAAAAGAAATTCAAAGCACCTTTAATGAGAAGTAATAGGAGAATTATACAAAACCAAATGTTTTTTTCAGATGCTCTAAGTCTGTGCTATATAATACAGAAGCCACAAGTGGGTACTAAGGACTTGAAATGTGCTAGCCCAAACAGATGTGCTATAAATATAAAATATAGACCAGAGTCCAAAGACTCAGTATGAAAAAGATTGTAAAACATCTCAATAATGATTTGAAAGGATAATTTTTTAGATATATTGGGTTAAATAAAATACAGTATTAAAATTAATTTCACCTGTTACATTTTACTTTTTTAATTTGGCCTTGAGAAATTTTTAAATTACACATATGGCTCCCTTTTGTGGCTTGCATTATATTTCTATTGGAGTGCTATAAAAATTAGTCATGCTTAATGTGAAGCCTTCAATCAATATAACTATTTTAACATTTTCACTGAATTTAATATTGTCTCCTCCTTTAGTATTAAATTCCTCTTGGGTACATCCCGAATAAGATGATTTTAACATGAAGAACAATGACAGCTTACCAGACTGTCCAGAAAAGAGATTGAATCAAATTTCTGGGCAGAGGCTTGAGCCAGCAGGCTTGTTCCACCAAATGGTAACCAGGCTCTCTTCGTGTTATCTCTGGCAAAAGGGTTATAGAGTAAGAAAGCAGCACTATGTACACATGGAACAGGATTTGACCAATAGTTTAAATCCATCCAGCATAATAACACTTGTTTTAGGATTTTCTCAATTATAATCCAAGTGTTAAATTTACAAAGTGAAATAAACATCTTTCACTATGATTTATTCAAATTTACCCATTTTCACGAATTTTTAAGGTATTCACATTTGCCCTTTTGGGAAAGATTCTCTCCTAACAGTGACTCTAATTTGCTACCAAGGAAAACACACCTCTCTCATTAGGGTGAAAGGAAACAACAGTAACTATTTTTTATGAGATACCATGACAGATTTTAAAAGACACTAGGATTCTCATACCATAAACACTAATACCATCTGGAAACAGTCCCTGGTCCATCTGGAAACTTGAACAGAATGTGGTTTTAGGAAATTAAGAATTTCACAAATAAGAAATAGAACATAAACACTTGTACAAGACAGCACTGACTCAAAGACAGAGAATATAGGAAAACAATTGTACTATCCCAATATTAGAAGACTACTAGTTTTAAAAAAATGTACTGGACTCAGCACAATGAAAATAAAATTGGATTTTAGAGATCCAAAATTTCCTACAGATTAAAATATTCTCAAGTCAAAGTTCTTTGGCACAAAACAATTTAAGGCTTCATACACTATTCTTAGTCAAACTACCACAGCCTTTGATAATCAATGGAAGAAACAGAACCAATGGAAGATATCCCAGATGGCTAAGGAGAAATTTGTGTTCAAGTGCTAGTTAATTCGAGAGGGTAGTATGCCAGTTATTCACCAGTTATTCAATTAAGCACAAGGATTATACTAAGTTTTGGAGATACAATGGTGAACATGCTACAATCTCTGACCATTAGTTTACTCTCTGGTAGTTTTCTAAAAGAACAGGAAGTAGGACTGCCACTGACATTTCACTGCCTGTTTCCCATGCCCCAATGAGGATGTTTCCCCCTTCTCCTATTTGTATTCGGAGGAAAGGGCGGGGATGGGGGGATGGAAAAACAAAGAAAAAAAAAGATCTATATATAACATATTGAATTACAATTATTTATCTCTTTCCCTATAAAACTCTAAACTCCTTAAAGAAAGAGGATGAAACCTATTCACCACCTCCCTATTCCTAGCACCTAACCCTGTGACTGGTGTTCATTTGCTACCTTAGAACTAAACTAAATCACAGTCACTGTGCTAAGGCCACTGCTTTCATTTTCCACTATAAACCAGTATCAAGGGGCGCCTGGGTGGCTCAGTCATTAAGTGTCTGCCTTCGGCTCAGGTCATGCATGGTCCCATGGTCCTGGGATCGAGCCCCACATCGGGCTCCCTGCTCAGCTGGAAGCCTGCTTCTCCCTCTCCCACTCCCCTTGCTGGTGTTCCCTCTCTCGCTGTGTCTCTGTCAAATAAATAAATAATCTTAAAAAAAAAATAAAAAAATAAGCCAGTATCAAGAATAAATGCAGATTAAAACAATTAGATCAATCCTTCTAGTTTTTCTTTTTGTAAAAATAAGCTTATATATACATTAACTGTAGGTGTTTAAAAGCTACAAAGTAACATACATGTTTTTTAAGGAAAAACATGTAGTTCCATAAAGCTTCCTTTCACCATTATCACTAGATCTCCCCTTACCAGCCCCATCCATCCAGAGGTAACCACCATCATGAATTTGGTGTAAATGATATCACATTGTACACATCACTCTGCCTTGACTTTATCTTACATTTCTGAGCTCTCTCCCTATTTAGACACATTGAAATGCAGCATGGCATAATGGACTCCGGAGCCAGACAACTGAGATTCAAATCCTAACTTTCAATTTCCACTCTGCCATTTACCACCTTTGAAAGTAGGTAAGTTTTTTGCCTCTGTATGCTTCAGTATTTCCGTATATAAAATGGAGATAATAATTGTACTATTTCTGAGTTCTTATGAGGACTAAAATAACTGCTTATATATGCTTAAAACAATTCCTGGGCATAAACAATATAATTTTTTCTTAAAGATAAAAATAGTCACCAATGATAAAAATCTAAACATAGACTTGGTAATTCTCTGTTATATAACTATTTTATATCTTATTTATCCATGCCTACTGACGGACATTTAGATTTTTCCAAATGAATATCCCTGTACAAATCTCCCTGGGCAAATGTGCAAATTTCTCTAGACTAATAATAGCTTGAATAGTAATTTCTGGATACTAGGATATGCACCTTTCAACTGTGTAACACTTACCTGATCCTGAGCTAATGGGTGAAAAAACTGATGGCTCATAAGTTTTTAATTGCATTTCCCTGCAAATGAAACTAAGCATCTTTTCAGTTCATTAGCCATTCCAATTTCCTTTGCTCTGCTGTGAATTGCCTTAATATCCACTGTTCATTTTATTTGCATTTGTATCATCTGTCTTATTATTTTCCTCTTTATATATTCTGGACACAAATCCACTAGATATTACAGACATTACACCTATCTCTCCGTCATGCCACTCACATTTTAGTTTGGTTTATGATGTATTTTATTAAACCTAAGTTTTTCTTTCTGAAGTAGTCAAATCCTTTATCCTTGATGTCTTTATCTTCGATGGTCCATTCTTCTTTTCTTGACTTGTTAAAGAACGCCTCACACATCCTAAAGACATTCTTCTATACTTTCCTCTTTATCAAACGGTTGTTCATGCTTAGTGTAAAGTTCAAATGGAACTGACATCTGCATATAGTTTGAAGCAGAGACTTAGTTTTCCCCCCATATAGAAAACCAATTCAACAGTCCACTCTTTCTTTCCCTGCTGATAGAAAATGTCATCTCTAACTCTTACCAACTTCTCAAATATGTATGGATCCATTTCTGAACTCTCTCTTCTATTATATTAAGCTGTCTTTTCCTGTATTAAGACTATACTACTTTAAAAAAAAAAAGACTATACTACTTTAACTACCATAAATCTGTATTTTACTTTTTTTATTAAGGTGTAATTTACATAAAGTATAACTTTGATTTTTAATTAATGTATACCCAACCCAGATAAAGATATTAACATTTCTCATGCTCCAGAATGCTCCCTCCCAATCAGAACCATGCTTCCAAGATAACCACTATTCTGATCTCTAACACCATAGATTAGTTCTACCTGTTTTTGAACTTCCTGTAAATGAAATCATACGATATATAATATTTTGTTTCTCATTTCTTTTGCTGAACATAAGCATGGGAGAATCATGCCATGTTGTGTGTAGCAGTTTATTCTTTTTCACTGCTAGGTAGTACTCCATTCTAAATAACATGTTTAAAATTAGTCTTGCTGAACAACAGCACAAGCCACTCCTCACTGTTCTTGCAGAACTGTCTTGGTTATTCTTCTGGCTTTAACTTTGTATATAATCTTTGTATAAAAAAATCCTATTGGGATTTTTGTCTGAAACTATGTATAATAAATCACAGAGAAGTAATTTTTTAAGCAATATTTATACTTACCATAAATATAGTATGTTCTGTCTTTTACTCATGTCTAATTTTATGTCCTTCAATAACACTTTACCCACTTTATAGAACTTGTGTATAGGAGAAATTTATTTTCTAATTGGCTACTGCCAATTTTAATCTCAATCTTATATCTAGTGACACTGAATTCTCTTATTAATACAGTGTTAGTTTTTTAAAAAATTTTCTATGGATATGTTCATCTCATTTTTCTTCTTTTCCAATCCATTTGGATTGTAGTTCTTTTTGCTTATGAGTAAAGACATATTTGTCTGATTCTTGACCTTAATGGGACTGTTTCTAAGGTTTCACCATTAAGCATAATGTTGCTGTTTGAAAGACAGTTTGAAAGACAGCCTTTACTGAAAGAAAGAGTTCACTTGTCAGGGTTTGAGGGTTGTTTTTTTTTTTCCAAAACATTAATGGGCATTGAGTTTTATCATAAACTTTCACTAAATCTTTCAAGATTCTTCCCCTAGGGGCGCCTGGTGGCTCAGTCGGTTAAGCATCTGCCTTTGGCTCAGGTCATGATCTCCGGGTCCTGGGATCGAGCCCCACGTTGGACTCCCTGCTCAGCGGGGAGTCTGCTTCTCCCTCTGCCTGCTGCTCCCCCACTTGTTCTCTCTCCCTCTCTCTGTGTCAAACAAATAAAATCTTAAAAAGAAAGAAAGACTACTCCCCTAAAGCTTTTAAGTTACCTTGATACAATTTTCAAATACTGAACTATCCTTACGTTCTCATCCTAATCAAAATTTTTATGTCTCTGTTCATACATAAGATTGAATATATTTTCCTTTGTATATTCTTTCCAGTTTAGGTTTCCAGACTACCCTTGTCTGATAAACGGCAGTGTAGCTTTCCCTCTTTTTCTATTATCTGGGTCATTTTTGTATAAAAATAGAATTATCTGTTCACCATAAGTATATCTGAAAAAGGATTATAAATATCAAAATTAAAACTATTCCTCTGATAACACTTCACACAGTGAGGATGGGTAAAGTAAAAAAGACAGATACTGAAAGTGCTGGTGAGGATGTGGAAAATTAGAACCCTCATACGCTACTGGTGGGAAAGTAAAATGGCACAGCCACTTTGGAAAACAGTCTGGCAGTTCCTCAAAAGGTTAAACTTAGTTACATATGACCTAGTAATTTCACTCCTAGGTATATATCCAAGAGAAATGAAAATGTATGTCCACACCAAAATCTGTACATAAATGCTGACAGCAGCTATTCATAATAGGCAAAAAATGCAGAATGATCCAAATATCCATCAACTGATGAAAGGATAACCAAAATGTGGTATATGCATAAAATGAAATAATATTTGGCCATAAAAAGAAATAAAGTGCACTGATATATGGTACAACATGGTTGGACATTAAAAATATTATAAGTGAAAGAAGTGAGTCACAAAAGGCCAAATATTGAATGATTCCACTTATGTGAAATGTCTAGAATAGGCAAATCTATAGAAAACAGAGTAAATTAGTGGTTGCCTAAGTCTGGAGGGTTTGAGGAAAATTGGGACTGACTGCGAACAGGTACAGCAGTTTCTTTTTGGGATGAGAAAATATTCTAAAATATCAAAGTAATGGCTGCACAACTCTAAAAATACTAAAAACCACTGAATTGTACATTTTAAATGGATAAATAATAGAATTTGTGAATTACAGCTCAATAAAGTTTCCATTTTTATTTTTATTTTATTATTATTTTTAAATAGGCTCCACACTCTGCATGGAGCCCAACATAGGGCCTGACACCAAGACTTGAGCAGAGATCAAGAGCTGGATGTTTAACTGACTGAGCCACCCAGGCGCCCCTAAAGTTGTTATTTTTCTTTTTTAAAGATTTTATTTTATTTATTTGACAGAGAGAGACAGCGAGAGGGGGAACACAAGCAGGGGGAGTGGGAGAGAGAGAAGCAGGCTTCCCGCCCAGCAGGGAGCCCGATGCGGGGCTTGATCCCAGACCTGAGCCAAAGGCAGACCTTTAACGACTGAGCCATCCAGGTGCCCCTAAAGTTGTTATTTTTAAAAGTCTATTCCTCTTGGGGAAATTTACTACAATTTCAATTTTTTTAACAGTTTTTAAATTTCTTTAGATTTTTTCTTTACAATTTTGGAATGATTTTTTTTTCCCTAGAAAACAATCCAGTTCACCTGGTTTTTAAAATTTATATATATATATATATTATTTATATATATTAACATATATGTTATGTTATATATTATTTATACATTAATATATGTTATAATATAAATTAAAACTTAGTGATCTCTTGTGATTTTTAAATTTATAATTGTGTTTGTAGTTATATCTCATTTTAAATTTTATTATTTGCATCTTTTTTTTTTTTAAGATTTTATTTATTTATTTGACAGAGAGAGACACAGCGACAGAGGGAACACAAGCAGGGGGAGTGGGAGAAGGAGAAGCAGGCTTCCCACTGAGCAGGGAGCCCGATGCGGGGCTTGATCCCAGGACCCTGGGATCACGACCGGAGCTGAAGGCAGACACTTAACGACTGAGCCACCCAGGCGCCCCTCATCATCTGTTTTTTGAGTATGTCCAGAACTTAATCAACTAAAAAGGACCAGCTCTGATCTGAATAAACACTGCTATTGTTTTTATGTTGATTATTTTCTATTTCACCAAATTCTATTTTTATTTTTTTTCCTCCCTTCTTTCTTAGCTTTTACTTTCTTTTTTTTTAGTTTTTGAGTTGAGTATCTGGCTCATTTATTTTCTTTCAACCTAATACATGCATTTAAGGTTATAAATTCACCCCTAAGCACCACTTTTCCTGTATCCTTCAAGTTCTGATACAATGCCTTTGTTATGATTCAGTTCTAGTTATTCAACAATTTCCACTTTTTAAAAAAAATTCTTGAAAATGGTTAGTCATTTTTTCTTCAGTACTGCTTCTCCACCATTCTCTGTATTCTCTGTTCTGGAACTCCAATCAGACCTACCCTGGAACTTTTCAACCTACTTCTAAGGTGGCTCAGCTCTTCTTTCATTCTTTTCATCTCTTTATCTTGCTGTATGGTGTCCTGGAAGAGTTATCAGTTTTATCTTGAAATTAACAACTTCTCTCTTCAGCTAAGTCTAATCTTTTTTGCTCATTTATGGAGTTATTTTATAACTAGCTATATTTTTCGATTTCAATTAGTTACTTCATTTATTTCTACATATTTACTGCTTCTTGACTGCTCTTGTTCAATTATAATGCAATATGCTCTGAATAAGAAAAAGGGATATATTTTAAGCTAATATGCTTTTACGTGAAATGTACTTTGAAAGTTGTCTGCTATAAAACTCTTCTTTAATGTCAAAAAAAAAAACCCCACTTCTTAAAAGTTCTCTTGACTGCCATTCTACCAAATGTACCCCCCACTGTGCCGACCAGTATCAAGGCATAGAAAGAACAAGTTCTATTATTCCCATTTTAGAATTAGAGAAATTGAAGCACAATACAGTTCTTTTTAAAATACTTTCTCAACTTTTTTTTTGAAAAATATCAAAACCACAGAAAAGTTGAAAGTACAATGTATACCCTATATACCCTTCACCTAGATTCAAAATTGTTAACATTTGCCACATTTGCTTTATCTCTTCTTATATCTCTCTCTACACACACACATATACTGAACACACCCAAATACCCACACTTTTCTGAACCTATCATAATATTTCCTTCTAAATTTTTCAGCATGTATCTCTAAAGAATAAAGAATAAGGATATTCTTAATATACCATAGCACTATTATACCAAAGAAACACTGAAACTGGATGTGCAGAAGGAAATTCACAACAAGCACTTAAGTCATCTAAATATTCTTACTTTGGCTTGTCTAATTGGACCTGAATTGGTTCTCTGGTGACTATTTAAAAGCGACACTCAATCTGTCATTCCCTTCCTTCAGCAACCTGAAATCAGATTTTATCTACTGCTTCTTCAGACACATAATCTTAAAACCAAACACTTCTGAAAATCAAGCAATAGTCTTCTAAGATAATGAAACCTCAAAAATCAAGTACACTGAACTTCCAGTTTGTTTTCTAACACTACACAAAGTCTTAAAATGGAGCCAAACTAGTTAACTCACTCAAAACTATACATTTTATTTTAATGTCCCGTAGAAGAAATTTATATTGCACTAAACAATTATAATTTCACTATTCTAGTTTCAAAGGGAAAAAACTTTTGTTCTTAAGAAAAACTGACAATACAAACAGGATTGATAAGCCAAATGACCCCATTTTATAAATGAGAAAACTAGTAAATATATTCATGAAAAACTAAGTTTTTTCTATCAACTACGTAAAAAACTATTTTTTAATGGGTATAATTTAATCCCAGTCACTGACGTTAGGAACTAAATAAAATTAAAAACAATAAAATCCTATTTTTGTTCTCCATGATCATACAAATCAGCTTAAGAGTTTCGTATCGAAGAAACAGCAATACAACCCACAGCTAATATCTAAAGGCTAAACTGTGTCATACAGATGAAAATTATATCCATAATCACAGAAATGTTCCATCTTTAATCAAATAACAGTTAACAAGAGTGTTTACAATGTGCCACTAGGAACTGTTCTAAGTACATTCCACAAATTAATTCAATCCTCATAGTAATCTCATTTTCCACTGAGGGAACAGAGGTCCCAGGGAGGTGCTAGCGTAAGAGGAACTGTAAGGGATAGGGCCTGATCTCAGCCTTGTAGAAAAGTAGAATAAAAAGAAAGTCATGTTTTAAAAATTGGCAAAGCACAAGCCCCAAAGCATAAATATAACAAGTAAACAAGTAAGACCAAAAGAAAAGCTTCAAAGTGAAGAACTGAAGAGCCTGGGTAAACAGGATGGCACTGGGTTATGAGAGGCCCGAAGCAACCAGCAAATGGACAAAAGTTTTATAGAACAACCTGAACAGAGGACCACTACAGGCTCTTTATGTGTTAAAAGTGCCCTTTTAGAAAGGATAACCTGGTAACAAAGCAGAGTAAGTGAGAGAGAGAGAAATTAGAAGCAAGGAATTCTGTCCAATTCTAACATTCACATGCCCGTTCAATAAATTGTCAGTACCTGTGGAAGCAGAGACTCACAACAAACCAGTAAGTCCATCTATACGAACAAGGGAGTGGTAAAGACACCGTGAATTATTTTCCAAATATACCTACAATGAAGCTAAAAGGTACACTGAAAACTGTATCAGTAAGAAGTGCTAGTTGATTAATATAAAATTATTTTTTGTTGTTCAGTACTATCCCAAAAGAATGTGGCCAAATTTGGCATGAGCCTAAGTTTTATAGTATAAGTATATACTTCATGTAAAAGCAACATCACAAATAAAGGAATTTATAAAACAATTCAACACATAGCTTCCTTAAATTGCTTTAGTAGTATTACACTATTTACCAGAAGGTAATAGATACATAATTTTTATAAACAGCTATTATGTAAGTGATACTCTTTCAAATTAATGTCACACTTATTCATACACCCATTAAGAACTAGGTATTTATCATCCATACAATAAATTCCATAATCTACATCAAATTTACAAAATGAAGTTATCTCAAATAACTTTCTTCTTTGTAATTAAACAAACTCATTCTAAAGAGAAGAAATGTGAGAAAAAAAATCTCAAGTTTTTGAAAACTAGATTACTCACCAGTAACTTGAGTTATCCTATTGGGTCTTTTCCCTCACAGATCCACCTCTCTTGCCCTTCTGTCCAGCATGAGAATCTTCCTGATGGGCATCCACTGGAACTGAGGGGGCATGCAGTACAGACGTATATGTAAGAAAGTTGGGGGGAGGGGATTTGGGAATGCTAGAGACATGCTTCAGTGCACTTGCTTACCTTCCTGAAATTGGAAATTTCAACGGTTCCTTGGTCCTCGAGGCATTCACAATAACTTCAAAGAATGTGGATCTGTGGAGATTACCCAATAGGAGAACTCCAGTTACTGGTAAGTGATCCAGCTTTTTCTTCTCTAGCAGAATAAGAAGATTAATTTTATTTGAGATTATTAATACACATAGAACTACAGGGGAAAGGGGTGTAAATTCACCAGATAACTGCATATGCATGCCCCAAAGTAAACATCGAAACGTGCTAACTACAATGTCAACGGAAACTTTTGGCACTATCAGAAAAAGAAGGAAAAGAGAATATGATTTGAATGGTTTCATTTTTAAATTCCCACTATAATGGCAGCTATATTTTAATATACAAAAATATCACCTATTAGACTATTCCATTTTACTGAAACAACACCATCACTTTTTAATATTAGTACAAGGATAATTAGTCGATCAAAATCTGCCATTTCTTAACTAGCCACTGTCATTAACATTCACCAAATTTTGGTGTAGAGGCCACAGTGAATTAACAATCTATAAGACTTCAGATAAAAAAACATCAATACAATTCCCTTTTATCACTCAATAAGTCTTTAAAATAGCCATTTGTCACCTATTAAGAAACCAAGCGCACACACACATATAAATGTATGTCAGGCCACTGATAAATAATAATGCTGATTTTAATTTAAATACTTGTACAAAGTAGTACAGCCATAGTTTTGATTAACTGTTATGCTTTTTAAATATTGCCTAAAAATGGTCCTGTCATTAAAAACAACAAAAAACCCCTGACTTCTAATAAAAGGGAAAAAAAAAGGTCTCCTCAGAAGAATTTCATCTTCAAGCTCACATGAAAATATTCTATTACCTTTAACTCAATACATATTAATCAGGTACATGTTCACTTTAACGTACTACAGAAAAGATGGCTTCAAACACTAGTTCCTGTTGAAGATACAGATATGTTTCAGTAATACTCCACCCTATTACCATTATGCGGCAAATAATCATCTACTACCTTCAGGAAACATAAGGTTTTTATGGTTCTTAGTTCCATGGAAACAAATCGAAGATAATGTACAGCTTTTCCTTTGTTTAAAGATTTATTTATTTGACAGAGAGAGAGAGATCGAGCACAGGATGGGTGGTCAGAGGAAGAGGGATAGAAAGTGGGTTGCTCACAATCCTGAGATCAGGACCTGAGCTGAAACCACGAGTCCAACACTTGACCACCCAGACGCCCCAGTTTTTCCTTTGTTTTAAAAGTAAATAGGATACAGACCTGTACCCCTGAAACAAATAATACATTATATGTTAATTAAAGAAAATAAAATACAAAATAAATAAATAAATAAAAGTCGGATAAATTGGTGTATAAACTTATTCAACAAAAACAAGCTGAAAATGTAATTCTAATGAAAATCTTACCTTTCACTCGTTATGACACGTTTGTATTTACTAAAGGTTGACAGCACATGTCAAGATTTTTGCTAGATTCCTACTTAATTTAAAGATATAAATTGTCTTGGAAAAATCATATATTTTTTAAAATAAATCTGAGTTTTAAAAAATAGTAATTACTGCATTTGTTTTTAAATGACCCATTCATACAAACAGAGGCACTAAGACCTCCATTTCTAACTGTAATACAGAAATAAATATCAAAAGGGTCTTCTAATTAACTCTTCTAGATTCCTAGTTAACTTCCATTACCCGAGAGTGAACAAGTACCTATCACAAAGGTCCGACATGTTTGGATTAATAAAACAGATACAGGTGCAATAATCCAAATATTTTATCCTTTTGGTATAAGCTCGAATAAAAGATGTCACTTACTAAAAATTTCCAATTTTTATTTACAGCAAATGCAGTCTCCATTTAGACTCATGAATTTAAAACAAAATCAACTGCATTTTTAAAGTAACTCAAGAGAATTACGATATCTTGAAAATATTTTAAAGTAACCAAAAGGGTCACTTAGAGACCAACATTGAAAGCTGTTTGTTATCATGCCATAAGCTCAACTAACATGGATTTTATCAGAATAACTTAGAAAAGAAATTCCAGAAATTAGGATCCTCTATTAAAAACTATCTTGTGTGAGCTCTAATAATTACAACACTCATCCACAAAAAGGTACTCCTTAGGAATTAAGAACCCAAATGAAGCACTTCAGTAATGAAAATCTACTCCATAAAAATCAATCTGAACTTGTGAAAAAACTGCTCAGAAGAAACTGTGGTAGCTAACTTTCATTTCCAATACTACTCACTGGTTTGGACATTATATTTTGGCTAGAAGCAATTTAAATTACAACTGGTTGTGATGATTCCAGGCACTTTATTTTCTAATTTTCAATTAAGATTTAAAATTCTAATGTAAGGTATTACGGTTGTAAAAGGTTGTTCACAGTAAATCCTGGACTTGGAATCCTGTAACATCATAATAAAATTTAGTATTATACACATATTCACACATATTTAAGTGACGTTATTGATGGCTCATATGTAAACAAACATGGGGGGGATGTGTGTTTATATTTGAATTGAACTAAGTCCATTATGACTTACTGCCCTTTCAGTCCCATTATATACTACCCTCAAGGTCCCCAAATTATAAACACCATCTCATTTCCTAATTAAAATTTTCCTTTCCCTCAGTTTTATCCACTACTTCCCACTACAGCAATCCATAGAGAAACAAACAAAACCAGTACTATTTTCTCATTAACATAAATTAACTTAAAATCAAGACAGCAAAAACTACATTCATCAGTAAAATAAGGATAACAAAAGAACCCAGTTTGCAGGGCAGCAGAAGGAATTAAGATAAATAAAGCATTTGGAAACAATGCCCAGAATCTAACTATATATCAAACTGTTGACATAACCACTCAGATAAAGTTTTCAAATGATTTTATACACCTTTAGAGGAATATAGTCTAAGGACTAAAAGAAATACATAAAGAAATTCTAAACCTACAGATTTATTGTTTGTTATTAATTTTGGTACTATTATTTTGAAGCTATATTCTTTACACTGCACGATAAAGAAAATAGGTAATTTATGTTACTGATTAGAAATTACAATTTACAGCATAAAAGCAGTAAGAACATGTTAATATTAAAATTGAATTTCAAATACCACTATACATTTGTGATTTTTTAGAAATACATATAATTTGGAAATAGTTAATAAAACATTTCAGGCAGCAGTTAGTAAGTAAATCACTATCATTATCACACCAATATATAAATTATATTTGCTAATACTACAAGACAGCTAATACAATATATAAATTACATCTGCTAATACTATAAAAACAAACTGATTAATAGCATTATCACACCAACATATAAATTGTATCTGCTAATACTACAAAACCAGGCATTACATTCGATTTACTTTTACTAAAGGAAGTTACTCGACTTTAAAAGTTGCCAGAAACATTTACACAAATTGTTTTCCATGTTGTAATACCTGATTTTTATAAGCTAGAATTTTACAACTGTTGACAAATCCTAAAATGAAAATATGAGAAAAACAGTATTTATTCATGTTCTTGATTGATGTTTGATGGTAAAGATATTAATATTCAAATTGTTTGGCAGATAAAGGGGAAGGATGACAGCTAAGATCTACCACCCTAGAACCCGTTTTGGTCAGAAGAATTTCTTTTTTTTTTTTTTTTAAGATTTTATTTATTTTACAGAGAGAGAGCGAGCACGTGCACACAAGCAGAGGGAGCAGCAGAGGGAGTGGGAGAAGCAGACTCCCTGCTAAGCAGGGAACCGGCCCTGGGGCTCAATCCCAGGACCCCAGGATCATGATCTGAACTGAAGGCAGATGCTTAACTGGCTAAGCCACTCAGGTGCCCCGGACAGAATTTCTTATTTATCTATTTTATATTTTGAGTTTCCCCCATAAGCTTTCCTTCCAAGAAAGAATTCTGCTAAAAGTTTTCAACTTTAAAGGACAGTGTACTGAGCAACCTTTAAGATGGCCCACAATGATCCCTCCTCTTCCTGGTATGCAAACCCTTCGGTAATCTCCTCCTCTTGAGATGGGCTGGATTTAGTGACTCATTTCCAAGGAACAGAATTTAGCAGAGTAACAGGATATCACTCCCAAATTAGGTTATAAAAAGACTGGCTTCTGTTTTGGGGGCTTTCACTCAGATACCTTGCTTTAGAGTAAATAAGCTGCCATATTGTGAGCAGCCCCATGGAGAAGCCCAGGTGGCCAAGAAATTGATGTCTCTGGCCAACAGCCAGAGTCCTGAGGCCTACCAACAGCCATGTGAGTAACTTGGAAGCAGGTGTTCCTAAGGCCACGTGACAACCACATGAGTAAGCTTGGAAATGAATCCTCCCTCAGTTGAGCTTGAGACCCTGAGCCAGAATCACCTGATAGGCTGCTTCCGAATTTTCAACTCAAAAAAAAAAAGAATAAGATAATAAATGTTTATTATTTTCAGCCTAAACTTAATTTTGGGATAATTTGTTACACAAATAGGTAACTAATACAGAAAACTTTACAAAGTAATTAGTATTAGGCTAAAAGTGATAAATCAAATGCCAATTAGCTATCTAAATGGGAACTCGTAAAAAAATAATATCTATGAGTTGATGGATGGGGTCCCAATTTTGATTTGGTTCTTGGTTTTTAGGTCCAAAAATTCAACCTAAAGCTAAAGCAGATACAATTCAATGACAGAATTCTATCAACCAATATCACCAAACTGATTAATAAATCAGGGCATTTCTTTCCCAGTATCAACATATTCAGACAGGGCCAAAGCATTAACAAAGACTTGCATAATGCATATACTAAGTGTAAAGTAGCTGCCCTGAAACCGGTTGCTGTATCTACAAACCACTTTTTTTTACTTGAATGATGTTAAGAACTAGTTAATATAAAGAAGACTACGTTATTACGACAACCCCAGAATAAAAGTATCACTCTAGTGACCATCAAATAGCATCTCTCACTTCCTACCACCTCTTGTACTATGCTACATATTAACCAATTGTCCAGTGCTATAACGCTGTGTGGTTTTTCTTTTAC